GGTACCGTGGCAATGATCACCATATTCCGGAGCCAGGGAAAAGGCCTCCTCTCTGGCGAGCCAAAACTGACCAGCAGCGTCCATGCTGCACACATGCAGATATGCTTGCCGATTGCCACTGTTATGCTGAATGCTGCTTTCATCGATGTTGCTGCAGTGCTAAGACTCGCTCAGCTTGCAGCTTATATGCGACACAGGGCCTTTCTGTGAAGCGAAGCGGTCGAAAGCCTCTGCCGTGCTGTCCCTCGAAGGGTGGAGGAGAAAGTGCTGGAAGCAGGCGCCGTCCCAACATGACATCGCAGCAAACCGAAACGAAAGCACTCCAAAAGCCCTCTGAGAACAGAACTGGGCAACTGTCTCTTTCTTTAATCTCGTTTGTCCGCGGCCTGAGCAAAAGTCTGGACACTTGGTACCTTGAAAGCCACTGAAGCATAAGCAGCAGGCCCTGGCATACAGCCGGGCCGCTTCATCACTTACTCAGAGGATCACAATCTGCCAACTGGGCTCCCGACCCAGGCATGCAATCACCTCGGATGGCAAGTTGAAGATTGGATGAGCACGCTGACTCATGTCCAAGGAAGATGCGAGCCCTGTGCTGCTGAGCTTCAAGCTTCCGCTAAGGGGGATTGTTGAGTTCGGGGTTTGGGCTTGTGTTGGTGCTGCGTTATGTTGGGCTGTAATGCGGAGATATGTGCGGGACAGAGGGTTGCGGAGAAGTGACATTTCTGCGTCTTGGAACGCTGCAGGGTCAGGACATGTAGAATTGTAGAACAAGGCGCGCGCGACAAGGAAACCAAAACAAATTCAGCAAACGAGGCGCTTTAAGTGGCGGCTTAGTACACCCCCTAATGTCGGCTACGGCTTTAGGGGTTGGGGGTGATGGACTCTGGAGAATTGTCGGGGCAACTGAGGCCCAATGTCTTCCAGGAAAAGCAGACATGATTGTTTTCCCTCAAAAACTGGCCCGGCAAGATGTATCGGGAGCCTCAACAATGTGGGGTTCCGGGTTCCGGGGGTTGGGCCTCGCGCCGGCCCTTTCAAGACATGCTCCCATACCCTCAACATTCTGTGACCTAGGGTATACTAGTGTGCCAGGATCTGGTGAATGCCTACCTTTGCAACCAGAAGTTGTTACATGGATCTGCGACAAATATCACATTCTACCAGGCAAACACAGCAATTCTTCTAGCGGCGGCAGGACTACCCAAGCAACTCCAATAATAGATGAAAGCCACGGAACTAACAAGCAGGCCGTGAGGCCACCAGGCGGAAAGAGAGGAGTCACCAGGGCTCTGGCAAAAGACGGACCAGCTCCAACAATGATATTGCCCTGGCTGTGATTGGTCTTCAGCTTAGTGTCAGCAAGGAGGTGGCGTAGTCACGCAGAAAAACATTGAGTTCGATCCTCTCCACACAGCCCCGCAGATGGAGTCAACTCTGCAGCACCTACATCTATCGAACCTAAAACTGAACCTGGTTTCTCGTCCTTTGCTTAGTTCTCTCAAGTCTACGAAAAACAAGTTGCAAAAGGCTTCAAGCGCATGAGTTGCCGGACGGGGTATTCTAACATGTCAGGAGTTGTCCGCCTGGACCTTGTCTATGATGGTCTAGTGGCGAGCCATGTTCATCTTCCCCCGCAGTTGCTGGGGAGGGGGGGGGGGTGTCTTACGTTGATCGCTGTAGCTTTGGACCAAAAGCCCAAAATTATGGCGTCTCTTCATCTTTGCCTGCACCATCTTGCACCCTTCTTTGGTCACCCGATACTAACACCCGTTTTTTTTCCACAAGTTGGAGACTGGATTGGAATCAGCTGCCGTCAGCCTCCATGCGTATGTTGGAAGCTGTGCAACAAAACTCAGCACGGCTTTTTGCGAGCATACGCTGATCTGAGCAGCTGGCTGCTGACTGTTGAAGGGTCGTCAACATGCTCTTATCACCGGCAGTCCTGTGACATGTGGAATGCTTTTGACAGTTACAAGTGCGATCATGACTGCTATGTAACCCAGCTGGGCTCAGCGGCGGTATTGCCAATTCTTTGATGGCATCTACCGCCTAACGCCAAAAATATGTTCATCCGGGTTTGGAGTTTTTACTCCTGCAGCTAGCAAACATGGCGCAATGCCAGCTCCAGACTTTCTCCGTAAGCTTTGCCAGCTTTATATAAGCCCCAAGATTCGTAGCTTCCAGTTGATTTTACATCTTCTTTTCCATTCGGTTCTCCATTTTGGGTGCTATATATCCCTATAGAATCCCTGTATGTAGGAGTGTCCGTTTCACCTTCCATTTCCTTTTCCATTTGATTCTCCATTATTAGGATATTGACCTGGCCCTTCTTGGCCTTGTAGTATAAATTAGTAATACTAGTAAGAATGGCAAGAATAATAGTATGAGTTGGGTACTGCCCCCCCTCAGTAACAGTTGGATAATAGTTATAGTATGGTTATATATGGCCCTTAATAGGACCCCTAATACAGACTGTTACTGGGTGGGGGCAGTACCCAAAGTATGAAACATAATACTCGTATGGCCAAGCCTGCGTCGACTTCGCCAATCTTCAAAGCTGACACAGTCACCGCACATGTGCCGTTGCAAGCCCTGCACTCTCCCCAGCACGCCTCCACTAGGGTTTAGGGTTTAGGGTTGTCCGCCCGGTAGACTTAAAGCTCGTGCCAACACAGCTGAAAGCATCAGGTCGTAGAACATACCATGTACGGCCAAATGCCATGTGTCTTGTCCTACAGCTTTATGCAGAAAAGGCAACCATTCCAAAGAAGACCTCTTCACGATAAGGCAACGAAGAGGCAAACAGACCCAAAGTATTAATCATCAGTCTGCGGCTATCATGAACACCCAGCAAACATTTGGATAATGCTTATAATATGATTGTATGTATAGACCTTAATATGACCCCTATTTTAGCCTGTTAGTTGCAGGCAGAAAGAGTGTAGGGATCTCCGCAGTGCTTCGCTGGCATGTGTGGTACCCCATGGAGGCTTTGCCCACATCAGGTCCCTTCTGACAGGAAGTTGCCCACGCTGGGCGGAACATCTATGCTTCGGTTTGAGTCTAGGCCTGACTTCAATCTCCCAACTTCTTCTAGGGTTTAGGGCTTAGGGTTTGAAATCCACATGCAGGTCTACACAGTTAGCATATGTCACCGTCACCTTGAGAGGAACCGTTGGCACTTGCCGCAGTTGCAAGTGCACTGGCCCTCACGGTAGTGTCTCCTCTGCAGATGGCTGCAAATCTCCAGGTCAGGCTCACCTCAGCTTCGGATTGCTGGGTTGCTGCTAGGGAACTGGAATTGAGTTACTATAATATGGGTATATAGTAAATGATAGGTTACTATAATATGGGTATATAGTAAATGATAGGGTTTCCGCAGTTCATTCTTGCAACTTAATTTAGGTTCCTTAACAGCAGCCCGAATGCTTGGGAACAAAGTCGTGGCGCAGCATTGGCGAAAAAAAATGGTAAAGGGGCTTGGGTACGTTTGATGTAATTCATGGGAACCCATCTACAAGTGATTCTCATAAATATACCTTGGGTCTTATGCCGGGCCCCACATAGTAGTTTCCCAAAATAAGTGGACCCCAATATGGACCCCAAAATCCTATAGTGCTTATTATTGGGACCCCTAAAATGGTACCCCTAATTTTTGGGAAATCCCCCAACCCTAAACCCTAAACCCTAAATAGTAGTTTCCATTTTCTTTTCCATTATCCCAATATAACCCCAATATAACCACTTTAAAATGGTACCCCTAATTTTGGGAATTTCCCACATTGACCGGCTTTCTCTGCAGCCGAAGTTCGTCCCAGCTTGATGAGCACCTGGTCACCTCAATCCATGATCATGCTGAGTTAATCCAAGTGCGCAAGCCGCATGTGAGAACAAACGCCTTAAGTAGATAGAATGTTAGGGGTTCTTTTGGGAAAATGGAAAAGAAAATGGAAACTACTATTTAAGGTTTAGGGTTTGGGGTTTTTTGACAATCGAACTTCCGCATACTTGTGGAAGTAGCTCATAGTGCTGCGTAGTTCTGGCATCCTCACTTTCCCTCTTCTGGGCCGGGCAATCCAGCTGGAAGCTATGCAAGCGATCACATACTACTCCAAAACCTGGTACACTGCGCGGACCAGGGAATTCCCAGAGACTACGAACAAGGGCTCCGACGTCGCATCTGGCTAAGCGCACTGGCTGTTAGCAGGGTCCCTAATACAGTAGTTTCCCCTTCATGCGTTCGCTTAGAATGTACGTGTTCCACTGACCACCACTTGTCCACACCATGCGTCCCCCAACCCTACATGCTTGCACACCTTTCTGGGTTGCTGTTGAAGAACCCAAATCAATTTGTTATAATTAGAACCCGCCATTATTCAGTATATAATATCTGGCCAGATATACCCAGATTATGGTAACTTCATTTAAGTTCCTCAACCGCAACCCAGCTTTTGAGTAAACTTGTGCTTGGGGGATATGCGGACTTCAGCGTTCTCTGCTTGCATGTTTGTGAAGCAGCAACCCAAGCAGCCACAGAAAACCACGCGTAAGTTAGGGCCGCGACTGGCCCCACATATTGCAACCCCTACAGCAGAACCATTTGAAAGTCCCCATATAATCCCTTTGAAACCCTGCAGAAGTCAGTACATAATCAATGGTGGTGGGGCTCTATCTAAGTAATCCAGACTACAACAACTCGAATCTGTAGAAGGGACCCTGAAAGCCCGGAACAACAAAAAAAAAAGAGTCTCTGTCCGAGATGCAGGTGTTCATCCAGAGCCTCCAACATCTCTTACATTGCTGCGGCACCATCGCCTTAGAAGTAGGTACTTGTGGCCTGGTGGACCTTCTCCTGATCACCCCAAACCCTGAACCGAAACCAATTTTCTGGAGACAGTAGCTTCAGGCCTCAGCCTACTAAAACCCTAAACCCATTTTTTGGCATCCGGACTCTGCTCGTCTGTCGGACTCCCCAAACCCTAAACCCCTGAACTCATCCGGCATCTCAAGGAAGGAGGTCACAGGTCCAAGCTGACCTGTGTTGCTTCTGACTCCTAGCTTCCCCCTCAATATCCCTGTGGCTTAGGTTTTAGGATTTGAGGTTTAGGACTTATATAACCAGAGTTTAGACTATAGCTCACATGGAACTTGTTCCTCGGCCGTGTTGCTTTGGCACCACCGCCAAAGGAACTGCCAACAGTGCTGTCCTGCACCAGAAGCATATCCAAATCCAACTACACCAGTAGCAGTGCGGCTACATGGGAAGGAATGATGCGAAATCATCTGCAGTGGAAGCGTGCCTTACCGCACCCATGTGATGAAACACGAACCCTTGCCTCCCTGAGACAGGTTCATAAGGCCACAACAGCTGAAGCGGATGTGTATGATGCCCGTTAATATTGGGGTAATATTGGGGTAATATTGGGACGATGGAAAAGAAAATGGAAACTACTATAGTAAATGCTAGATGAGAATCAAATGGTAAATTGTCCAAGACCGGGCTGATGAAAAGTGGCAAGTAGATCATCACATTATCGCATGGGTGGTTGTCAAAATTATGGTCCCTTTTTGGGGTCCCTATTCTAATACGGCACCTAATATTTAGGGTACCCCAAAAAGAGACCATAATTTTGACATCCCCCTACATGTCTTGAAGCATCCTCTTCTAGCCAGGGTCAGGACACAACTCCTACTAAGGCTCCTCAGCCTGGCATTAATCCATGTGCAGTTAAACATGACCGCACACTATCCCACAGCATGTCCTGACAGCCACTGCAATGAGAACCATACCTCAGCTCAGATGCATACTCGCGTATATGTGTCCAGATGTAGTTATAAGTATAGAAAGAAGATGTACATACACATTCAAGTATGTGTGCATGTATACATGTATGCCTGAATGTATCTGTGTGCATATGTGCACGCACGCGAATTTGCACACTCAAATGCATAATCTCACACTCACAGACATATATATATATATATATGCGTATGTATCTCTGCATGAGTGTATGTATGTACATGCATAGGTCCGTGATCGGTTATTGTGCCCCTTTTGCGTCTCCTTTCAGCAATTTTGGCACTGGGTCGCTTATCAGCTCGAGGTCTTAAAAGCTTTCGTGGTCAGGGCATGTGGTTCTGCTGCAGCTGTCCCAAGCATTCAGGTGCAGCTGCAGTGCACATCTGAAAAGCGAAGTCACATTGATTGGGATCATATTGGGATAATTAGTGGAAAAGATAATGGAAACTACCATAATGGGTAATATTCGGGTTATATTGGGATGACTTTGAATAATGCCAAGTTGCACGGTGTCGATCGCCGCGTAGCTCATTTTCGATCGATCATGGAGAAGCTGACATGAGAACGTGCCTATCGCCATGATCTGGCTGCAGGGCTTAGAGTTCGCTGGCGGTGCTGCCTTTGTGGTTGTCGGCGCCTTAGTTGTTGTGGGTGCCTTGGTTGTGGGTGCCTTGGTAGTGGGTGCCTTGGTGGTGGGTGCCTTGGTAGTGGGTGCCTTGGTGGTGGGTGCTTCGGTCGTCACTTCCTCAGTAGTTGTTTCTTCCTCCATCGTAGTCGTGGCACCTTCTTCATCCGTTGGCATGTCCACGTCGGTGCCGCCTGTCAGCTGAAGTGGAAATGCTTCATGGGGGTTTAGGGCTTAGGGTGGTACCTTTTTAAGGGGGTCCCTATAATAAGGACTACAGTATATTGGGGTCAAAATTGGTGTCCCCTTATAGTGTAGCTGATATGCTTGCGCCGCGAAAACACATGCACCCTGTTCGATCGACAGTGATGCCAATCAAAAGCTACTTCGCATTGCGTCACCCCTTGACAGCTTTATGATGGCATATATATCCCGTTATATTACAGTAGTTTTCTTCTCCATTATCCCTGTATATCCTATATGAGCTACAAAGCGGAGAGTCAAAAATTCGCAGCCACACACACATGGTAGTTTCCATAAACATGGGGACCCCAAAAAACATGCAAATACTATAATTCTTATGATTGGGGATCCCTATAAACCACTAGGCAAAAAAAACACCCATTCCTTGTAATGTTGCATGTCCTTCTCGATGTGATTCTCCATTGTTGGGGCTGCATATCCTTATATACCCCCATATAATCCCTGTAAGTAGTAATGCCCATTTCATTTTCTATGTTCTTTTCCATTTGATGCTCCATTATAGGGGGATAATACCCGTACATAACCCTATACCCGAAACTAAACAGTAAGTCGTAGCTTCTATTTTCTTTTCCGGCATCCCTTGTACCCCCTATACGATCCCTCCCTAAAACTAAAAACCGTATGGTGATATGCTTAGTTAGCTTTTTCCTTTCCCTTGTCCGTGTATTTACACCTAGAGCAAGACTTCTTGGGGCCTCTCTCGGTCTGCACTTCAGCTCGCTCATTGAAGCTCACTTCCATGGCGCAATCTACAACTTTCTGCGTGACGTATCCTAAACACTAAACCCAGTGCCCGGCATGAACGAATCACTGTAAGGGCTTTCTGGAGGCGAACATCCTGCCTGATTACACGTCGGAGCGTCCCAGACATCCCCTTTGCTCACATAATTTTAGAAAGCACTTTACCGAGCAAAGGCCATAGGCCTGTTGCCCCTGATCACATCTTCGAAGCAGTAACAGAGTGGGCACTCATACGCACACACACACACACAAAGATACCTTGACTGCCCGAAGACGAAAATCTCGCCTCCACCCCCTGGTGATGAGGTGGTGGTCGCACCGGCCGTAGTTGTTGAAGGGAGGATGCACTTCCCGCCGGTGCACGTGCCAACGACATGCCTTTCAGCAGGCAAAGCAGCGCTCTGAGCAGACCCGTGGCATCCCGGAAACCGGTTAATTCCCATATCCCATTTTTGCGGCGGGCTTGGAGCATTACAGGCACAGGTGCGTGAAACATACCATGTTAAAAGCTCTGAAGCAGAAATGCACACAGATCCAAAATCAGCCCGTGCGACTCGCCACGGTATGCCCATTCCCAAGTGCTAACAATCAAACAAGTATGCCGACGTTTGCACTAACCTACTGGTTCTTTAGCACTCTAGTAGGGAATGAAAGAACACAATCCCTATATAATATATCTCGTTATTCCCTACAAACCCCCCGTAAAACTAAGGAAAAGGTCCGTACCATGCTCATCCGAAGAGGCTGCAGCTCGCAAGGGCTCCCATCAGGCAGCTGGTTGAGTGGATGACCTCACTTCCCCAATAAACCAGGGCTCAAAAAGTTTAGGGTTAACTTTATTATATAGACCCAAAAGGGAAGCCCAAAAAGACAAAATTTTTCTGTTGGCTGAGTAAGTGACCATTAAGCGTCCATCCGGTCAACAAGTTGCATTGACCAGAGTACGTGCACTTGAACCTTGGGTGGCACAAATACTGCTGCCACCAGGAAGGTATCCTAGCAGGCTTCCTGGTGAAGCTGCAATGTGCAAAGTGGCGCTGCCTGTGGAATGTACAAGCAAAAAAAAATCATAGCTGCTTTCTCAACCTCTGCAGTCCACAATATCTTCATAGTGATTCTGATACTTCCTTATTGGATCCCCTGAATAACCACTAACCCCCTTGTTTAAGGTATAGCTGAGTACAGGTCCAACCCCCGTCATTGGCTCTTTCTTGCTGCCAGGTGGCTTGCAGGGGTTATCCTGAAAGCAGTAACATTTGTTGGAGCAAGATGAGCTATAGTCTAAACGAGAGGGTTAGGGGTTATATTCTAAACAAGGGGGTTAGGGGGTATATGGGGGATTGCATAGGGAAGTTGTGTAGAGGTTATTCAGGGAGATACTGGGAGTTTACGTAGACTATGGCTCAGACAGCCTTCGTATGAGAGCTTGCGACTGCCTGCAGTTGCAGGCTCCTCGAGTGAAAGCCCGCTCTGAGGCCATACTATAATGGTTAATGTAAGGAAGAATGAAAAAGAAAATGGAAACTACTATATTATAATAGGGAATGTAATGGTTAGTATAGGGTCTAGGGTTTTGTGCTAACTCCCTTGCAAGAAGTTCTTGGTGCTCCAATGGGTCAGGGATATCGAAAACATCCTCTGTCTACCTTGCTATGGCACAATATCCGCTGTTCAGGCTAATCCACAAAAGCATCCGTTTAAGATCTTATAACCCCTATATAATACCTGTTTATGTTTTTTTGTCTTTCCATTTGATTCTCATTACTCTGGATCCGAAACCCTGAACCCTAAACCCTACATGGGATCAGTCCTCATGCAGGCCACAGAATTCACCCCAGGTCGGCGCATATGCTGCGGCCAACTCTTCGCACTTTGTTCCATGGGGAACACCTGGGCAGATCCAGCTACAGAGCTAGCCCTAAACCCTAAACCATCCCCGTGAGCAGAGCTAAGAAATTAAAACATCCGGGCATCGCTCTTTGGAAAAGCCTATCTCGTGTTACAGGGGCCTTATCAAGATCCTGTGGTCGGATGCTCCACATCGTTGCCTTTGGATGGGCTCCTAGGTCGCCTGTTTTGGAGTTTCGTTCTTTGGGGGCGCCTCGCGTGTTGTTCGGCAGTGCATGACCTTGCCTCCATACGCCTTGTAGCCTAATGTTATCTCTGCCTCCTACACATGCTTCAAGCCCTTCCGCAGATTAGAGCATAGGCTTTGGTTTTCTCGAACGGCTGCATTCGTATACTATAAGATGCTCTAATCTACAAAATCTACAATAATATACTAGAAGATACGATAATACGATAATACATTAAATATACGATAATATAGTATCATATACTTTAATATTCTGTAATATACTATAATATACTATAATATACCATCATATACTATAATATACTACAATATACCATAATATAGTATAATATACCATAATAGACCATATTATACTATATGATCATGCGCCAAGACGCCTGCAAAGCAGAATCCCTTATGGGTGTTGGCCTGGACAACCTCTGTTCCAGCAGGCCTTGGCGGGTTGCACTCTGACTAGGGTTTAGGGTTTAGGGTTTAGGGTTCAGGGTTTAGGGTTTGGGGTTTAGGGTTTGGGGTTTAGGGTTTAGAGGGTTTTGGGTTTAGAGGGTTTAGGGTTTGGGGTTTAGGGTTTGGAGGGTTTAGGGTTTAGGGTCCCTTCCCCCCCCCCTAAGATTAAACCCCCCCATTCGCCTAATACTCCAAGATGCACCATGTCTTATGAGAACTCTGGAGTGAGGCGTTCTTGCAAGATGTCTGTGGTCGGGGGTGATGCCGACATGCTAAGTCTTGGCCAGCTGCCAGATAATGCGCAAGATATTACTTGGAGGATCAGGGGGACTTAGTGAGTATACTTATAACCCTACAAACAATCCCAGATATCCCCATCATTACGCTAAGTCTCCCTCACTTTCAACGCAACAACGAATCCTAGACATGTCTACGTAACCACGGTTTCCATCTTGTTTTCCATGTTCTTTTCCATTAATGGGGTAATACTCCTAAAACCTAAACCCTAAACTTTAAACCCCTCAACCCTAAAACCCTGAACCCTAATCCCTAAACCCTAGAATCCCCATTCCTAAACCCTATACCCTAAGTATTGCAACCCAGGGAGCTTGAACATGCCATCCTCCCTGCAACATTCTGAGTCCTTCGAGTCTGGAGAGCATTCCTTGCCGTGGTCCAACCTTCAGGGTTTAGACAGGCACCTTCAGGGTTTAGGGTTTAGGGCTTAGGGTTCCAGTCTATGGGTACCTTTTTTGGGGTCCCGATACTAAGGATCATAATATATGCAGGGGATATTTGATATTATGGGGGCTGGGGCTTTTAATCTTATGAGGGGGGAATCAAGTGCCGCTGCCGCCCAACATCATGGAGGATCAAACGGAAACTGAGATGAACAATCAAGTGGGAATTGGGGTTACATGGAGACTATCTTGGAATATATTGTAGGGATACTATGAGAAGGAAGCAAGGGCCGTATAGCAGATTGCAGTACAGTAGCACGTACACGCGGGTAGTCTTCTGAGGTACCAGGTCCTATGTAGCCGAATACCTGCGTAGGCTTTCCACACCACCCATGTAAGAAACAAATCTTTTGGGTTTAAGGCTTGGCAGCATCATGGAAATTACCCACCTGCTACCCTAAACCCTAAACCCTAAACCCTAAACCCTAGTCTCAAGGTCCCCTAAAACTCGGCCTGATGAGAAAAAGGCAGTACTCAGAATCCAACATGGGGCATAAAGGCTCGCAAATGGAAAAGATAGTGGAACATTGAATAACTAGGGTTATAGGGATTACTTGGAGGGTCAGGGGAATTTGGGAAGTATACATGTAACCCCTATAAACCATATAGTGACCCCAGTTCTCTCCATTATCAGCCTACTTTCTAAAGTCCCCCTGGCCCTCCAAGTAAACTCCCCCACAATGGAAACTGGGCTGTTATAGTTGTCTTTGCTGCCCCGCACTTGCAGTTCGAACAGTATCGACACGACATTTGCCCGGGTGTGCCGCACTCGCACTCCTCGTTGGCCTTGTCGCCGTGCGTTTACTTGATTTGGTATGGAGAATTCTGGTTATAGGGATATATTGTTATAGGGGTTATGCAGCACAGGCTTTATATAGAGGTACATGAGATATATTAGCCCAAATAA